CTACGTGACAGTACAAACAAACACATGAACACTCAGCACAGAGAAATTCATAAATATATAATATAATAGTACATAACAACATGTAAACCGCAGAATAACAACGGACACCTCACATGAATTTACGGCAGCACACCAGGACACCACAAACGAAATATAAACTGCGCGTCATATGAATGGATCAACATCACGTAAAAGTGACGTATTTTTTGTGACGTTTATATTATCACAGGTAAATTTCTAAAAATAAAAATAGACTGATTAATTTATAGACATGTACAAGAATATAAATTTGGATTGAGTTTGTAATGATGTTATTATATGTATTTATTAACCATGACTAGAATATTAAAATGGAATTGTGTTTGTAGTTGTGTTATTATTTGTATTTTCTAACTATGTTGGTTTTTCTTCTAAATCAAAACTGAGTATAAACAAAAAATCCTGTGCATATAGTTGTTTTAAACTTAAAATCATATAAATGAAGTAGCTGATTTTTTATCTTAACTTTTCCATACATATAGAAAACAAAAATTAAATTAAATAACTGTAATACAAGGCAAGATCATGTTAGAACAAACAGTAAACACACATAGAAACAAACAACATATAACAAAAACCACGTGTAACTTGACTATACTGACAAATAAGACATATTTGAAATGTACCAAAAATTCAGAATTCAAACTACAAACGAAATAAACAGACAACAACTCAGCACAAAATGACCCATCGGTCCCACACGTATAAGAAAGTAACAACAAAATGCCCGAAAGCGGGATTTAAACTGACAAAATCAAACGCTATCAATCATCGGAACAAGTGCAAAATACTTTTGGTACAGGCATTTTGCAGAAAAAAATGGTGGGTTTGATAGCTAGCTGAACCTCCCACTTGAATGACAGTTGTTTACAATTCCATTATATTCACAGAATTGGGTGAGTAACCCAAATAGACATAAATAGGGTAATGTGACAATAATTGGGACCCAGTAGCCAAAACTGTGTAACATACATTAGAAACATTCAACACAACTGACATAATAATTCACACAAACATACACATTAGTCATATATCAAAGACGCCGACAACAAAGGTTTAGAAGATGATACATTTGACAATGAACGACGTCAACAATATTTTTTGGTCGTTGATAGTACATACCGTGTAAAGTATACACTTTCTCGATAAAGTAAAAATTAAGTAAATATAAATACTAGAGTAAAGAAAATAGAAACACCACTGTGAAAACCCTTTGTGTCCGAATCGCACCTCAGGACCCACCTGTAGCAGGAATGCACCAAAAAGTCAAAAACATGATGGCGGGATGCATAAATACCGAGTTACGTCAAAAGTCATACATGCGATCAAAAGAAGCAGAATAGCACGAAGACAAATAACGGGAAAACTAAAGTAAAATAAAAAGATACACAACTTTATGAAGTAGACACTGGATATCTATCTATTAGGTTTTTGAGGTAAGGGTCACGGTGGTCGTCATGTTACACCTCAGCACGAAGAATCTATTACTCAAAACCATCTTGTATTATTTATGAAGTAGACACTGGATATCTATCTAGTAGGTTTTTGAGGTAAGGGTCACGGTGGTCGTCATTTTACACCTCAGCACGAAGAATCTATTACTCAAAACCATCTTGTATTATTTATGAAATAGACACTGGATATCTATCTATTAGGTTTTTGAGGTTGGGATCACGATGGTCGTCTTTTTACACTTCAGCACCAAAAATCTATTACTCAACACCATCTTGTATTATTTATGAAGTAGACACTGAATATTTATCTATTAGGTCTTTGAGGTTAGGGTCACGGTGGTCGTCTTTTTACACTTCAGCACCAAGAATCTATTACTCAAAACCATCTTGTATTATTTATGAAGTAGAGACTGAATATTTATCTATTAGGTCTTTCAGGTTAGGGTCACGGTGGTTGTCTTTTTACACTTCAGCACCAATAATCTATTACTCAAAACCATCTTGTATTATTTATGAAGTAGACACTGAATATGTATCTATAAGGTCTTTCAGGTAAGAGTCACGGTGGTCGTCATTTTACCTTGCATTTTTATTTATTTCTTCATTAAGATAGAACTGTTGTAGAAAATTGTGCATCTCATATTCTACAATTTCATACAAATAATAAAAAAATCAAACAGAAATCATACCTTTTGGTTCCCGTACTGGACATGAGATACTAACGATTCCAAACTTTTTTTGCCGAGGAAATTTTGACAGTTTTATACCTTGTCAAAATGAAGGATTTGAGAGTAAAGATATATGTTATTGAGGAATGACAAGTTGTAATATGAGCTATTGTTCACTAATGATACACCGCTATAAGTATTTGGTACTCTTGGTAATTTGGTTGATAAGTGATGGATGTAAAAACTCATCACACGGTATAGCATGCACACATGGCGGTTGATTATAAATTTCAGAAAGCTCTGATCTATAGTACCTGACCAACACTTCATACATGACCATCATGGTATATCATAATTACATACAGCATGACGCCAAATTTCAGTAAGCTATGAATTGTAGTTCCCCCAAAAAATGTTATTGTATCGACAGAGGAAAACACGGACGGATGTATACCAGTAAACCCCTCGTTTGGAGCAAGGGCATAACAATCATTTTGACAGACATCTTTGTTGTTTCTGATTAATTAATCCTTTTTGATAATACAACAGATTTGTTCTCAGATATTGAAGTTAAACTGTGTCATGTACAATGGCATCACGATCCGATCCTAGAACTTTAACAATCAGATCGGAATACTTGACCGCCGTTTCTTAATCCGTCAGGATTATATTTTTCAATATACCAAGAGACATTCGTGGTAATCAATGTAGAACACATCTGACATCTTTTGAAAGCAAATTCTTAGTCGAAAGATTTAGTCATTAGTCTTTCTTTCTTTATTTTCTTTAATTTTGAAATATTGATAAATTTCATAATAAACTGCTTATAACAGTTTAGCAGAACCTGAGATCACCCTAATTTTTTGGTGGGGTTCGTATTGCTCAGTCGTTAGTTTTCTATGTTGTGTATTGTGTACTGTTGTTTATCTTTTTCTTTTTTAGTCCTGGTGTTTTCAGTTTATTTTCGAATTATGAGTTTGAATGTCCCTTCGGTATCTTTCGCCTCTCTATTAGAGTAAGACACCTTTTGAATTGTTTTGTTTTAATCCCAGCATGACTTTGGAGGAGGTATTGATCAGATAAAACATTTTGCACTTATATATGTTTCGTGATCGTTTGGAAGTTTGGAAGTTAATTATCGGTGCTACCTACTCTAAGGTGAGAATATATAGAGATGCTAAATTTATAGTACAGGTGCTGTCATTAGTTCTAAATCTAAGGACTTTTGTATACATTCAAAATAAACTGAAAGCATATCCACCGATAAAATGTAAAAGTTTTATTTAAGTGTTATTTTTCGTCGTTTTTCCTTTTTTTGCCATGATGCAATCGGTTTCTCCTTGACTAAGGAATTTTGATTGTCCCTGGGTATCTTCCGTTTCGTTTTTATATAAATATCAAAGATCATTTCTTAAAACAAATAGCTAAATCATTTAAGATGACATAAGGAAAAAACAAATATTACAATAGTAACGACCTAAAGTATAGGAAAATAAAACAAATAAAATGATAAAACCGTAATACAACTAAGCGCCTACCCACAAAAAAAACCCCAAAAACAACCCCTTCCCCCGAAAACCTAATGTTATTAAGTAGCATTCCCTTTAATGTACCTCTTTGAAGAATGTTTTGCATCAAAAAAAAAATAACAAGTTTATAAAAGAGCAGATTCAAATAAAGTACGAGACAAGTACTTTTATATTTAATATGTGATTATATACATAGGTTATACAAGTTGATAATACCCGGAAGTGTTTTTTTATTCAGTAGCGGTATTTTGCTGCCATATGGGTAGCGTAATCTAGTTTGGTAGTTGTTCCTTGGCTATGATCTTTCCGCCGACTATTTTTCTCTGTGGAACTATGACTTTGCTGAAATATATATTACTGGATATTATGATTGAAAATGACATTTATTCTCATCTTGATATGTATTTATACATGACTGTGCGATTTGCAAACGAGCAAAATAGTAAATCATAAGAAATTGAAACGGTGAATCTTTATGCAAAGAAGCCATTACTGGAAGTCCTAACAATTTTCCAATTTAAAATATCTTTTAAGTTCCGGTCTCTTGTTAATAAATTATCTCTGCTTTTGCACACTCTAAATCTTTTATCACCACACATTTCGACATGAAAGGTTGACTCAGTTATTTACATTTTAGCTCTCGAAAGTTTGTTTTTATGATTACTTGGCTGCCGGCGACTATTTATTATTTGCTCTTCTATGAGATGTATATATATATATATATCAGGTTGGGTTTATCAATATTACTTGTTGTCAAAATACATAGAAACAGTGCTTATAAAAGCCAAATACTCTTTTTGCACAAATATTTCTAACGTAACAGTATCTAATAACATGTGCTATTTTGTTTTAAACAACTACCAAGCTTTTAAAACTTTTGAAAAATGCAAACAAAACTTACATCTAACAGCCGCTGAGATACAGCTGCATAAGACTGCTATTAAAACTATGCCGCCTAAAATCCCACCAGCAATGGCCCTAGTAATAACTATTATATAAATAAGAAAAAATAAAACATGGATTTGAATCAGACTGTTATATTAAATAATTGTGATATAGTTAAGAAATGACCACTGATTTATATTAAAAGTATTTATAAAAGTGATTAAATTGATGATGATGTTGATGATAATGATGCTAGTGTTTGTGTTGTTAATACTGCTGTTGATGGTGATGATGATTATTGTTCATTTGCACATTGAACGATTTTATTCAAAAAAAAGATTTCGTGTTTACATTTTCGTCTGATGTTTAACAGTGATAAATTATGAATTAAAAAAACAAATACGGAATAATTAGAGTTGACTTACCCTCCTGATGATGAGGTCGGGTATGTCAAGTTCTTTACACAAGCTGTATTACCAGTACATTTGTGGCCATCAGGACAACACAAATCAGAGAACTCAGAGCACTGGTAGTATTCAAAAGGATAAGACCCTTAAATGATAAAATTAGTGACTTAACACTGACATTCCAGACATAACGACTCTATTGACGATAAAAAAGAAAATAAACATTTGTAAAATAACAAAATTTCTTCATCATGACATTTGAAAATTTCTTTCGATATTCTAGGTAACTAAAGTAGTTATTCACTACAGAAATAAACAAAGTATAGATGCCCTCCAATTTGTTTGCCTCGGGTACAAAATCAAAGGAGAAGTAGAGAAAACACGTATATGTTCTTTCCAAACTTATACTTCTGATACTGCTGAATTCAAATGTATACCTGATACATTACCTTAACGTTTTAGAAAACAAATACCTATCAAGTAAAGTAATAAAAGTAAAGTAATAATAACAGGTAATTATTAGAATTAATATCTAAACCAAGATTGCATCAATTCTACAATACCAATTGATAAATGACTAAGCATAATCTCATATTGTAAATGTTTATAAATCGCATTTTGAAAAACAATGTTATGTAGCATTTAAATTGTACATACCGTTTACAATAAATATCCAAAATGAAATTGTAATTGTCAGTTTAACAAGTACCATTGTACCAATTTGTCTTGATGACCGATCAAGCAAACGAAATGTTGTTTAAAGAGTAGTACCTGTTCACAAACATTGATTTACATAAATGTAAACTGAGATGTTTCTTTTTTCATGTTATATATATGTCACCTGAATGTAATGGTAGTTATCGAAGACAATAGTTCAAAAAGCCAAAGTGCATTTATCCGTAAAATAAACAAATGATCAATTTTCTAACCGATAGACAATAAAAAATACCCTCATCTAGTGAAAAATTATTATTGTTTTTATTTATATATTTGTTTTGTCTCATTTTTCATGTAAAAAATACATCCATTTTTTTGAAAAAAAAATATATAACAAATGAAAAAAAAGAGTTAAATTAAAATGACTTTAAAAAAGATCAGAAACACTTCTTTAATCTACGAAAGCAATATTACACACTTTCGAAAACAACAAGACCATACGATACAGTTACAGGGAAGGTAATGACGTTGCTGATGTAAAATTGTAACATATCGGGAAAAGATGTTTTTTGGACTGATTTTGATCATTAGCTCGAAAACGAGTACATGGAGCCTCTATTGTCTTGATTATATATGAAGATTATTTATACCAATGTTTATGAAAAAATTACTCCTGTTTTTTTTTTTAAATTAGAAAAATATACAGCAAAATGTTTTATAAAAATGAATTGTTTCAAAGAGTTGTTTCACATTCGCAATTGATCCTCGGTACTCAGGAGAGAGGTCTTACGGAAAAGACAGTTCACAACAACAAAACCAAAAACCAAAAAACATAGGAAGTGTTGACAGGAGACCGGGTATCTCAAAGTATCTGACAACAAAACCTAGTCATGAACAAAGCAATACAACAAATAGCACACCAAAACAGTCAAAAACCAGGACACAAAACATTGAAAAATCTCCAGTTACTCCAACAGAGAATTTACATGACGCAACAAGAGATGAGGCTGCAAAGAAGCCGGAAAAGAAGCGCTAATGTGATATTTGTTAAATGAATTACAAAATCTAAGACTAGAATTCTTTTATTATAAATTATAAAAAAAAAATCTAAAAATATGCATTGTAAAAACCATATTCTTCACAAAACTGTATGTATAGCACTGTCTTCATTTATTTTTAACTGTATATTTTATTTGAAATATGTCTTAGTATGCTTGTGTGACATAACTGTTGAAGGTTGTCCACTTAAAATTTGCAGACTGATAGAGAGTCAAATCCATATCACTAATGAAGATCATAAACAGCCTATTCTTCATGAAATTTTTATCCTGAAAAAGAAAAAAACAAATAAAAAAATTAAGCAATTTGTATATAGGAATAACCAAAATATGTATGAATCAAAGTACATTAATGTACATGTATGTAATAATATAGCAAAGAACTTTTATTCTGAGAGTCTAGTTAAAAACATAGTATGTTGTGTAAAGGTAGTTATTTGTTTAATAACACTGATGTCTAAAATATGTATAAAGCTATACCTTGCTATTACAATTATCTTTATAGAAGATGTAAACCATAGCGCTAAGTTAAACATGCTAAATAAAATAAAAGTTGAAAACAAATTTAACAACAGTAATATAGACATTATAGAATACAAAATGTTTTTATGGTATATATTGTATTTTACTGTATTAAGTGTGTGGTTGTATACACCTCTACAGACAAACATAAAGCGTCGCGTAAATAACAAACTAACACGTAAACATAAATTGAGTCAACATGTGCTTATGTTTATGAACACAGGCACGTGGTTGAGAATATGTAGGTTAAGTTACAATACAATCAAATTAATGTCTTTATCATTTGATAAAAAATATCCTGAAATGGAAAAACAATTAATCCTATTTAAAAAGTCTTCCGAAAAAACCTTGACCAAAAAGTCTATTAATACGATGAGGTCAAGATATAGAGCGAACGAAATTGAAACTAGAGATCGAGTGTACCTGGAACACGGAAGTCTATTTTTTATACAAAATAAACACCATAAAAGTGATAAAAATAATCAGCATGATCATAGGTTATCAAAACTAATGCTAGAGAAGATCGATAAAATAATACATGTTAACTACGTTAAAACACGGGAAAATGAACTGCTTAAAATATCAACCAGGAATACACAAAGGATAAAAATAGAGAATAACGTGAACAAAGCGGTATTACTGGTGATAACAATCTTAGTTATTGACGTGATTGATGTAAATTCAAAATTTAAATACCAACGATTCGAAAAGTTAATAGAAATCAGTGAAGCGTATAATGTCAATACTAAGGTGAAACAAACGTTTCATCAGTATATAAACAGTCTTCTAAATTATTCTTGTGAAGAAGCAGGACTAAACGAATTTAGTTTTAAGGCAGTCAAAAGTAATAAAAAAATAATATCAAAGAACAAATATATAGAATGTGTTATTATTAATGTAAAAAAATGTTACTCACCATGTATGAAATTTAAAATATCCAACTATAAACCACCATGAGAAATTATCTGCATATATGCACGGTCAATGCTAATGGCCTACAGCAACCTGAAAAAATAAATAAAATAGTAAGTTGGGCAAATCAGCAAAAATGTGATGTAATATTCATTCAAGAAACTCATTTTATCAATTTAATGCAGAATACATTGAATAAAGAATTTGGCGAGAATCTTTTCAGAAGTGATGGTACAAGTAATTCGCGCGGGGTAGCAATATGGATAAAAGATAGAATTAATTTCAAAATTATTGATGAACACAAAGATTCTGAAGGGAGATTTATTCTGATTAATGTTGAAATCAACGAAAATATCTACACGCTAGTAAACATCTACGCTCCAAATAAATTAAGAGAAAGAAATAGTTTCTTCAAAACAGTTAAATCTTATATAAATAAATATGGATTAGGTCAAACAATTCTTGGGGGTGATTTCAACGACATCTGGTCATTGATAGATACAAAAAATAAAACTAAATCTTCCAAAAAATTTGATAAACCAGTAACAAGTTTAAAGGGGCTTATAAAATCATGTAAATTAATAGATATTTGGAGAAACAAAAATAAAAACCTAAAACAATATACTTGGAGTAGGAAAGATAGATCAGAGGCCACCAGGATTGATTATTTCTTGATTTCCAAGGAAGTACAAAAAAATTGTAAAAGTTGTGATATTAGACCTATTGTTCAAAAACTAACTGACCATAATGCAGTATCTTTAAAAATCAATACTGATAGAGGAAATAAGGGGCGTGGCTACTGGAAATTAAACTCCAGTATATTAAACAATGAGGACTATGTAAATATAATAACAAAGCTAATAATTAAATATGAAAAGGAATCAATTAACTGTAATGATTTGGGGATACTTTGGGATAACTTGAAAATAGAAGTGCGGGATGCAAGTTTAAGCTATTGTAAAAGACAAGCCAAATTAAAAAAAGATCAAATAAATATTTTAGAAAAACAGCTGAATTATCTCAACAAAGAAATAAATAATGGTACCCATATAAATCAAAAATTACAAAAAGAAATTGAAAATGTGGAAAATGATTTAGAGGGCTTGTATAAAGACAAAATTAAGGGACAAAAAATAAGGTCAAGGGTAAAATGGTTTGAAGAAGGAGAAAAAAATAGTGCATACTTCTTGGGACTAGAAAAGAGTCGCCAAACAAAAAAGATTATAACTGAACTATATGATGAAAATGGGTCTGCTACAACAGACCAAGATAAAATTTTAAATCTACAAGTGAAATACTACAAAACTCTCTATGAGTCCACTAACCCTTGTGATGATGATGTTAAAATGTATATTAAAGAAACAGAGCTACCAAAAAAGCTAAAAGACTCAGATAGCAATCAATGTGAAGGGGAAGTAACAGAAACTGAATGTACAGCTGCAATATTTAAAATGAAGCTAAATAAATCCCCCGGTCTAGATGGTCTAACAGTGGAATTTTATAGGCAATTTTGGAATAGCTTAAAAAATATTATTGTCAAGGTATTTAATTATAACTATGAAAAAAAAGAATTAACAAACTCTCAAAAGAAAGGTGCAATTTCACTAATATTTAAAAAGAATGACCCTCTTTCATTAAATAATTACCGTCCCATAACTTTATTAAATATTGATACAAAACTATTAGCTTATGTGTTAGCTCAGAGACTTAAAAAAGTTCTACCATCTATCATTAGTCTAGATCAAACCGGATATGTTAAAAACAGATATATTGGTTTTAACATCAGACAAATACAAGATATTATAGATTATTCTGAGAAATTTAATATAGAAGGAGCAATTCTTTTTTTGGATTTTAGTAAAGCCTTTGACTCGTTAGAATGGACATTTATGACGGAAACTCTAAAAAAGTTTGGATTTAAAACTAGTTTTATCAGATGGGTTGAAACTATGTATAAAGACATAAAGGGATGTATTTTAAATAATGGATGGGTCTCAGGTCCTTTCAAAATATATCGTGGAATACGACAAGGGTGTCCGATTTCAGCTCTCCTTTTTGTCATAACAGTAGAATTAATGGCAATAAGACTAAGAAGTAATAAAGATTTTAAAGGAATAAAAATAAAATTAGAAGGAAAATCTTGTAATTTAAAAATTTGCCAATTAGCGGATGATACAACACTCTTTCTACAGTCAAGAAAAGAAATAAGTTTGGCTCTTAGCATAATTGAAACATTTGGAAGTTTTTCAGGACTTAAACTTAATAGAAACAAAACAGAAGGGGTATGGTTAGGGAGATTAAAAAGTTCAAAAGATAAATATGAAAATATAAACTGGACAAACAAACCAATTAAAAGCCTCGGTATCTATTTTGGGTACGACAGAAAAGAATGTCAAGCATTAAATATGGAAAAGGTGATAGACAAAATAGCAAAACTTGTAGAAAGATGGTCAAAACGAAAGTTAACACTACTTGGAAAAATATTAATAGTAAAAGCTCTTCTGCTACCAAATATAACGTACATTGCTACTAACAGTATCATAACTAAAGATTATCTACAAAATATAAATAAAATCTTATATAAATTCATTTGGAATGGAGGAAAAGATAAAATAAAAAGGTCAATAATAATTAAAAATTTCTCTGAGGGGGGGTTAAAAATGATTGATATGGAGTCTTATATAAAATCAATACATTTAAAATGGATTTTAAAAATACTACAATCAGGAAATGCAAACTGGTCTGTATTATCAAAATTACACCTTAATAAATTTGGAAAAAACCTGCTCATTTTCAAGATGAATCTAAATAGCACAAAACTTCTAGATAGAAAAATAT